TAGAGTTACATATGCCACTGGTTTTTTTGTTTGTTTAGTTTTTGCTTTGTTTTGTTTGAGACAGAGTCTTGCTCTGTCACCCTGAATGGAGTGTAGTGGAGTGATCTCAGCTCACTGCAACCTCCGCCTTCTTGGTTCAAGAGATTCTCCTGCCTCAGGCTTCCCAGTAGCTGGGATTACAGAGGCCTGCCACCACGGCAGGCTAATTTCTTTCTTTTCTTTTCTTTTTCTTTTTTTTTTTGAGATGGAGTCTCACTCTCTCACCCAGGCTGGAGTGAGGTGGTGCAATCTTGGCTCACTGCAACCTCTGCCTCCCGTGTTCAAGCAATTCTCTTTTCTCAGCCTCCCAAGTAGCTGGGGTTACAGGCTCACGCCACCATACTCTGATAAATTTTGTACTTTTAGTAGAGACGGGGTTTCTACTAAATTAGCCCTACGCCCGGCTAATTTCTGTATTTTTACAAAAATTATGTATTTCGTATGTATTTTTTTATTCCTCTGTTCTTCCGTTATTGCCTTTGTTGTGTTAAATGGATATTTTCCACTCTACCACTTTAATTTCCAATATATATATGAAATATATACCTCGTGATCCACCCGCCTCGGCCTCCCAAAGTGCTGGGATTACAGGTGTGAGCCACTGTGCCCGGCGTAATTATTATTTTTATTAAGACGGAGTGTCACTCTGTTGCCCAGGCTGGAGTGCAATGGCGTAATCTCTGCTCACTGCAACCTTTACCTGCTAGGTTCAAGCGATTATCCTACCTCAGCCTCCCAAGTAGCTAGGATTACAGGCACCCATCACCATGTCCAGCTAATTACTGCATTTTTAGTAGAGACAGGGTTTCACCATGTTGGTCAGGTTGGTCTCGAACTCCTGACCTCAGGTGATCTGCCCACCTCAACCTCCCAAAGTGCTGGGATTACAGGCGTGAGCCACCTCCAGTCTTTTTCTTTTTTTTTGAGACAGAGTCTCACTCTGTCACCCAGGCTGGAGTGTAGTGGTGCGATCTCAGCTCATTGTAAGCTCCGCCCTCCTAGGTTCACGCCATTCTCGTGCCTCAGCCTCCCCAGTAGCTGGGACTACAGGCGCCCGCCACCTCGCCCGGCTAACTTTTTGTATTTTTAGTAGAAACGGGGTTTCACCGTGTTAGCCAGGATGGTCTCGATCTCCTGACCTAGTGATCTGCCCGCCTCAGCCTCCCAAAGTGCTGGGATTACAGGCGTGAGCCACCACGACTGGCCATGTTCTTGTTTCTTTGTATGTCTCATAATTTTTAAATTGATACTACTTTGGATAATATATTGTAGAATGGAAACTCCGGATTCGAACCCACTGGTTGGTGGTGGTTTTCGTTGGCTTAGTGACTTGCTCCGATGAATTCTGCAGGGTGTTTCCCCTGCAGGCTATGTCTACAGATGTGTTTGTAAGTTAAAAAAAGAATTGTTTTCTATAACATTTAAGTCTGGCTTCCTAAGACTGGCCCTGGGGTCAGTGTAGCATAATGGACAATTACTGGTTTGAATACTCTGCTTTCTCCTCAGATCGTATAAATCTTTTGCCTTTTACAATTACTGGTTCGATATTGTGCTTAAACATTCTGAACCACTAGGGCCTCCAGCCTCTTCTGATGGTGCTGTGTGGGATGTGGGTGCATTTGGAATTCAAGCAGTTTACAATTTGGCCTTGGCTTTTACTTTTTGCTTGTATAAAGCCTCATGTTCAGCCAGGGCGGTGGACAGCTGGGGTCCTCGCCTGTCTTTCCATAGTGTGCACCCAGCCTTGCAGACCACCAGGGACACCTGGCCACCTCTGAAGACCACCGAGGCTGTTCTATTTGTGAATGCAGAAAATCTGAGGCAGGTCTCAGTTAATTTAGAAAGTTTATTTTGCCGAGGTTGAGGCCGTGCCCGTGACACAGCCCCAGGAGGTCCTGACGTGTGCCCGAGGTGGTCGGAGCACAGCTTGGTTTTATACGTGTTAGGGAGACGTGAGACATCAATCATACATGTGAGATAAACACTGCAGCCAGCAGTGGTGGCTTACGCCTGTAACCCCAGCACTGTGGGAGGCCGAGGCGGGCGGATCACCTCATGTCAGGAGTTCCAGACCAGCCTAGCCAACGTGGTGAAACCCCGTCTCTACTTAAAATACAAAAATTAGCCGGGTGTGTTGGTGGGTGCCTGTAATCCCAGCTATTTAGGAGGCTGAGGCAGGAGAATCGCTTGAACCCGGCAGGCGGAGGTTGCAATGAGCCAAGATCGCGCCACCGCACTCCAGCCTGGGTCAGAAAGCAAGCCTCCGTCTCAAAAAAAAAAAATATTGGTTCGGTCTGGAAAGGTGGGACAACTTAAAGCAAAAGCCATGGGGGAGGGAGCTTCCTGGGCACAGATAGGTGATACACAAATGGTTACAATGTTTTGACTTTCTGATTAGCCTTCTTTTTTTCTTTTCCCTTTTGATCAGTCTTGCTCTGTCGCCAGGCTGGAGTGCAATGGCATGATCTCGGCTCACTGCAACCTCTGCCTCCCGGGTTCAAGTGATTCTCCTGCCTCAGCCTCCCGAGTAGCTGGGACTACAGGC